GATATGTCCTTCTCAGTCTAAGCGTTATGTAGTTGTCCTGTTCAGGGGCTGACATGTGATATGTAAACATCCCAGAGATTCTAAATCTTCTTGGAGTTATCTAGTTTTTATCACTGAGTTTGAGGTCTCTGGATGCTTGGTGGTTCCAATCCTGCTGTTGCTCTTTGTCTGTGTGTGCGTATTATCACTTAGTGGAGCTTATCTTTTTGTTTTTTTTTTCTGTTCCTCCATGTTAACAAAGTAGAACAGCTCAAATAATGCATTTAACTTAATTATCCAGGTAGAATACTAAATATGGAAAACAAGTTACAGCAGCCTAGATTCCCTTGTTTGTTTGGAGTATTATGGTTCTAACCTTCTTAACCAGGAGGATGCATGTGTCTTGTACAGATTTTTTAAATTTCATTTAAATGTCACTTTATTCCAGTGTTGTGTTCAGTGAACATTTGTCATTCACATTTCTTGTTCATTATTCAAACCCTGATAAACTGCTAAATTAGATGTTTTCTTACTAAGCAGCAGTGAGCATGAGTGTTTCAGTCTTTCTCCCTGCATCTAGATGAGTAGGCATTCACTCCAGTTTTGAAGTGAGATGTAGTGAGTGTAAGGTGAGAAGGTGCATGGTAAGTCTGTGTGTTCTCTGGATTGTGAGGTCTGGTCTTTTCAGAGTATTCTAAGTACTGTTTTGAAATACGAAATGTAGCTCTTGTTGGCATCAATACTTCACTGTGAATGTTTAGAAAGTCCAGTAGCTTTCACTTAATGATCAGGCTGTGATGAACTTGTTCCTTTCCACTGAGGCTGGTTTTCTTAGCATCACAGAACATTTCGGTCAGTAAGTATAGGAGAGAGAGTCTGATCTCCATAATGGTAATTGCCTCCTTCAACTGTGAGATTACTATATTTTTCACTGTAATCTCTGGCTTACTTCTACTTGTGTCTTCCAGCTTGTGAGAGACATCAGGCTGTGAAGTTATACTGAAGTCCAGATTCTGAGAGCAGAAACTTGGCATGATGGTATTCAATTATGTATTTCAGTAGAACTGCAATAACCTTTGCAGGCTTTTTACTACATAAGAGAACTTTTCTTACATGGAACTGACGTTGAAGGTCTTCTGGGTCATTGTATTTTTTTCAGAGCTGTTGTTAATTTTGCAAACAGTGGCAATATCTGGCAGAAGTACAGCAATTGTTGGTTCTAGAAGTAGAATGGGTTTCTGCTAGAGGACTACATAGAGTGTTTGTACATGCAACTTATGTCTAGAACTAAGGCATTTGATGTAGTGAACTTATTTAGTTCAATGAGCAGGGATTTCCTGTCATTTTTGTAAATAGGTGTTAGAATGTCACAGTGTGAAGAGATCTAAGAGTTTTTCCCTATTCATCTCTGAAACACTAGAAGAAGGCTTTTTTCATCAGACATTTATTGTTTGCATATCTAATTTGTAAATGTAGACAGCCTTTCAAAATTTGATGTGACCACTTCACATCCTTCCTGTTTTTTCTTGAAATCTGATTCTGTACAGTGACTGTCTCATGAGCCTGTGATATTCTAGTTAAAACTGAATTATTTGATTAGTAATGAATGCACTGCTGAATCACATGCGTGTTGAAGTGTGCTTTTGAAGCAACTAAATCAAATTGCTGTTTGAGTTTAATAATTTTGTCTTCTTGTTCATAGCTGATGGCCAGCTTAGTTTCATCTGTGTCTACACTTGAACACTGGAAAAGGCAATGATTTGAGAGCATTTGTTGAAGTAATACTATACTAAAAGCATGAGTGAAAGTCCTGTGAAGAAGGATTTGGGGGTTGTGGTGGATGAGAAGTTTGCTGAAAGCCAGCAGTGTGCATTTGTAGCCTGGAAGGCGTGCATTACCCTGGACTGCATTAAAAAATGTGTGACCAGCAGGGAGAGGGAAGTGACTGTCCCTTTTGCTCTGTCTTTGTGAGGACCCATCTGAAGTACTGCGTCCAGGAGTGGGCTTCCAGCACAAGAAAGACATAGACCTGTTGGAGTGGGTCCAAAGGAAGCCAGGAGCTTGCTTCCTGCAATGGAAGGTTGAGGGAGCTGTGCTTATTGAGCTTGGAGAGAGCATTGGGAAGACTTCATTGCAGCCTTCCGGTACTTAAAGGGAGCTCATAAACAGGAGAGAGAGAGCAACTTTACATGATCTGATAGTGATAGGACAAAGGGGAATAGTTTTAACGAAAAGTAGGGAAATTTACATTGGATATTAAAAGGAGATTTTATTACGCAGGGTAATGAGACTGGAATGGGTTGTCTAGAGGAACTGTGGATATATCTCATCACAGGAGGTGTTCAAGGCCAGATAGATCTGGTGGTTGGCAGCCCTGCCCATGACATGGGGTTGGACCTGGAGTGATCTTTATGGTGCTTTCCAGATCAAGCCTTTCTGTGATTAGGGTACATTATGCTACTAGGTTTCATGTTATTTAAGGACTAGAATAGTCCTGGTTCTGGCTTCAAAAGAGTTAATTTTTCTCATAGCAATCTGTTCGGTGCTGTGTTTTAGGAATGGAACCAAAACAGTGCTGGTAACAGTGTTTTTGATGCTGCTGAACAGCTCTTGCACAGCATCATGGCCTTCTGTTTCTTACTGTTCTCTGCTGAGAGGAGTCTGGGGATGTGGACAAATGGCTGGGAGGAGAGAGCCAGACAGCTGACTCTGCCTGACAAAAGAGATAATCCATACACTGTACTGTCATGTTCAGCAGTAGCATATGGAAAGGAATCCAGAGTAACCATTACTAAGAGACTGGCTAGGTATCCCTCTGCAGGATGAGGATGGCGAGTGGTTGCTCTTGCATCATTTGTATGTTTTTCTTTTTTTTTCCTCTCCCTGTTCCCTCATTTACTCTCTACCTTGACACTGACAAGTTGCTTTTGCCTGTCTGGTCTCTCCATCATCACGGTGGGAAAGGAGTGAGCAACTGGGTGGGAGCTTAACTGCATGCTTTGGTCAACCCACCTGAGTAAGATAATAGTTTTCAGATGTATAAAACTTTCTACAATCCCATACTTCAAATATATTGAATTATGACATTGCTTTATTTGTATTCACTTTAAGCTCTTCCATAAAGATCTTGCACGAGCAAGTCCAGTAAATTGATGTTCAGGTGTCAGGTTTTTCTTATCTGTCTTCTAACTGAACATTTCAAATGATGTGTGTTCAAATTTTGACAACTGTTCTCCCCCATATATTCTCTCTTGCTTTTGTTGTTCAGCTGCACGGTATTTTGTGCCAGTCCTTTAAAGAAAGGACATGAAGTTCCATGAAGTTAGTTATTCTGTTAGTTCATGCAAGATTTCATGAGATTGTACTTGGAACAGTGCATTCATAAGAGCAAGACTGAAAATACAATGGACGTGTTGGGGAGACTGTCACCAGGATTACGTTATTAAATTCACTAATTATTGCATAAGTCAAATGCAGGAAAAAGAATTTTAAGTGCATGTAAAATTTTTTTATTCACTTAGAGCTTAACTCATGTTCAGTCACTGTTAAAATGTTGCTTTGCAGCTAAATGTATGCTTTAGCCAAAAGGGGTAGCATTCTATATGAACAGAAACAGTAGTTTTTATGTAGATATACACACATTTGATTAAAATATCCAATATAATTTATTTTTGAAGCAATACTTTTCTTGTCTTATACTTTTTATGAGTGAAGTTTTAAAATGCCTCTTATTTTAATGTCTGTGACTGTAGCTAGTGAAAAAAATAAACTGAAGACCATAAAACTACAGACTTATTCCTACATTTTAGATAAAGCAGCTACTGTCAACACAAAGTTAGTATTGTAGTGGATGCTGTGTCTAAGAAACTAGAATTTATTTTTCAATGGTTCAATGGTTTATATATTTACCTAAGTGTAGAATAAGCTACACTTAAAGTATTTCTTTAATATTTCATATAAAAGGCTTAAATTTAGTTATCTTAGAAGGAAATGTAAATAAAAGTACATAACATAAAATAGAAAAATGTGAGTACTTAATCTTCTTCCCAATCTTAATCAGCTGTAGCTTTTCTGATGTTTAACTGGACTGAAAATAAGGAAAGGTTTAGATGTGCACATAAAATCAATCGAAGTGCTATAGATATTTGCTTATATTTGCTATACATATGAAATATTGTAAGTTTATTTGTGTAAACATAACTGAAGCTATCACGTAGACTAAGTAAATTTCTTAATTTCAAAGAAAAAAACAGTCTGCCCCCTTTCATCCATTCTTGGTATCTGAAGATAAAAAAACCTTAGTTAAACCAGAGAAATTACATATGTGGAACAAAGCACCATGTGCAGTAAGTACAATGTTTATTTATATGAATATGAAGTCTGGTTTCTGATAAGTGAGTGCTTCTGCAGAACCAAGCCTGCCTATCTCTACTGCAGGAACGTTTAACTCCTGTTGTTAATTTATAAAGCTAAATATTAAGCTGTGTTCCTCACTGTGCAGTTGTTTGAAGAGAAAAAAATAAAGGCCCTTTTTCCTAAATCTACCAGTTCAGGTAGAAGCTGAAGCAAAGGTACCTTTCTGTTGTGGAGGATTGTTTCCTTAGCATCATTTTTTTTAAGTGCTTTTTCTACTCCAAGAGGTTCTTCTAAGTAGAAAAGCCCAAAGTTAAACCAAGCTTTGTCTTCTGTTGTGCTCTTTGTTGGTTGTATAGTTGTGGAGACTTAACAGTCAAAATAGCAGCGTGCTGTTTTGTTCCCTTCTCTGCTGAGAACATATTTTCCTTATGAATTAAATGCATGACAGATGGAGTTTGTGTTAATCTAGATTTGGAAGAAGCTCTGAATAGAATGATGTCAGGCTTAAAGGAAGAGGTGGATATTTACAAATTTTTTTTTTTTTTTTTTATTTTTTGTGAAAATAAATTTTCGTTAAACAGAAGCTAAATTTTATGTGATGTGTAAGTGTTGTCTCATTTCTCGCATACATGTCTGTGCATTTACAGAACTGTCTTGTCTTCTAGGATCCTTCGGTTACGCAAGTGACAAGAAATGTTCCCCCTGGACTAGATGAGTACAATCCTTTCTCTGATTCAAGAACAGTAAGCATGTTTATTTCTTAAGTATGCTGTTGAACTTTTTAGGTAAGATTTATAGGGTATTGTTTTCAGAATTTGGAACAGTTATGTATAATATGTGAAGAGCTAGCTGGAGATAATGGAAGATCTGTAAGGACATACCATCTCCAAAGTATTTTAGTTTTAGCTTCAGGTAGGGTAGAATCATTTTCTTCAGAGTGTTTGATACGATGCCACGTTTTGGTTCTGGGAGCAGGGCAGTGTTGATAACACGCTAGCATTCATAATTGTCTGCTAAACAGCATTGTATAGAGCCAAGGCCATTCTCAGCAAAGGATCCAGGGAGATGGGAGGGAACAGAATTAAGATGACTGACTTAATATGTTAACGTGTAAATGTCGTAATTGTTAACCTTTTCTCTATCTTACTAAATAGTTTTACCTCAACCCAAGAGTTCTACTTTTTTTTTTAACGGGTTCTCACTGGGGAAGGGGGGAGTGAGCAAAGCAGTGTTGTGCTCAACCTGCTGGGTTAAACCACAGCAATTTGAAGGGTAGTTGAAGGATACGTTGTGGGCTTAACTTGAGTTTTGATCTCTTGTGGAATGTGGCTTCCTGAAGGGGACCCAGAGCAAAACTGTTTTTCTTCTGTTCAGTGAGGTTTCTGATAGTCTGTCCTTTGTGCTTTTTTGAATTCTTCAGTTCTTTAAAACTCAGATGAGTGTGGCATGCTAAGAAAGTATCTTTTTCACGTAAAACGTTGAATTTAACTAATAATCCTCAGACTGAATAGTTTTATTGTTGTAAAAGGAGTAATTTATTCCTGAGAAGCACAACATTGCATGCAATTTGTGTAGTTTCCACATTGTCTTCTCTCAATAGATTTGATTCTGTAACGTTTTTAAGTGATTATTTCTGACAGTGAAGATCTTGTGTGAAATGTGCATAATGTATGGATAATTACTATCCATCAGTGTAACTTCCAACAATAAAATACTATGTTTTTCAAATTCAAGCTTATATTTTTGTGGCAGATCTTGGAAGTGCCGCTCTGGGATATTGGTGTCCCTGTCTTGGCAACACAGTGGTAAGGTGTCAAATAGTATTACAGTGCTAGACTGAAAGCACCTTTTTTTGAACACGTTTGTGTCATCTCTTAAATGAGATGTAGTTAGAACATGCAGCAATATTAAGTAAGCCCAGACTTTTTTTCTCCTGACTTGCAGCATCACAAATTTCATCAGTTTTTCATAGCTTGGATATAGCATGCATATAGCATGCACTTGGAAATGTATATATTAAAAATCTGAAAAAATCATTAGAAGAGTATTGTATTTTTAGAGGCATATATTCAGTAAATTCCTGAATAGCTCCCCCTCTTTTGTCATCCCAGCAATGAACATAAAACCAGACCAGTCAGTTAGTTACAATTGACTTCTTTTGAAAATTTTTGTCTCACTGATAAATGCAGTACTTCATGCTTATGGAGAGATGTGCTTAAGGGATGTTCCTTTTAGCATTCATCTCTTGCCAGCCTATTGCCTTCAAGGAAGGTCATATTCGTTTGCTTCTTTGCTCATTACAGCTTTGACAGCAAAACACTGAAATAAAAATCTATCTAGTAAGTGCAGTTTGGGATAACCATGAGAAGCTGTGGGTTGAATTTCAAGATATAAGTACTTTGTAGTATTTGTCAAGATGAAAGACTATGGATGGATCTGTGTAGTAAAGTGTCTATAGAAATGGACAACTCAGTTCCCTTGGCCAACTGTTGGTTGTGTAAAATAGGTTATTATCCAGTGATGGCTAGAGGTCAGTGCAGTTCTCGCAATACAGATCTGAATAATTACTGTTAAGTCCTTCTAAAAGGTAATTTTAATAAAAGGCTATGTTTCTCTCTGCTGATGCCTCCTCAGTCTCATCCAGGCTGTCAGTCAGATATTTCTCTTCCCTACCCGAATCCCCAGCAGCACTTGGAAAAACAACTGGTAAGCACCATGCGACAGGTTGCAATGGACCTCTGGAAGTCATTCTTCAACCCTCTAATCAAAATGAGTCAGTGTACCACATTGCTTAGCTTATCTTTTCCTGCTGAGTTTTGAATGTATCGAAGGATGGAGATCCTATGTGATACTGCTGGGCAGCATCTTACAGTGCTTGACAGTTCTAATAGTGAATGGTTAGCTAGTTACTTGATAGCTAGTGTGTGAATCTGGAATTGCTTTCAAAGCTGCCTCAGCGCTTTTAGTGCTGGAAGTTGTGTCTATAAAAAACAAAATAACACAGGAGAAAAGAATATGCTGTTCTGCTTATTTAGTACTGTTCTGTGCACAAAGAAGCAAAATTGGTTCTGACAGATTTTTGGCAATATCAGGCATTCACAGGTAGTCCAGTAGTCATATACAAAAGGAAGAGTTGAATGCACGCAACTGGTGAAAGGGCTCTCTGGCTGTGCAGCAGTTCTACTTCCTGCAGGTGGGGTGTTATGAGAAGATGGTATCTCATGAGAATATTTTTACAGTGCTTTGCCATTTTATATGATTTTTCAGAGCAACAAGTTTTGAATGCTTTATCACATGAAACTGTGAAGAACTTACTGTAAGCTAATGTTCCAGAAGGGATTTTATTAGGATTGTTTTGGGCTTTTTACATGAAGTTAGCTGAATTCCTAATTGAGCTGATTTTATAAGAGGTGATAGAGAAAACCTGTGCTTAATCTGTGTTTGGAAAGTAGTAAAAAATGAGCTTGTGGAATAACTTTCTAATAACTGTGTACAGAACTCTTAGTCCTACTGCTTTGTCTACAGGCTAATGAGCGGTTGCTTTGACTTCTCAGAACATTTTGTTTACATGTATGAAGGAACACTCTTGAGTACCCTGTTTGCGATAAGGCTTAATTTCTGTTCTCCCTACTTTTTGTTTGCCCTATATGCACTTTATTGAACTTCTGTTTCTCCAGTAATTGCTGAACATTAGAAAATGCATTTGCAGGGAAAATAAATTATTTGTGCCGCTATGAAGTAGACAAGTGGTTCCAGGTAATATCTGACTGCAAATAGCAATTTACCCTTCTCTTCTGTATTCTCATTACTGCTTGTGATGGTCCAATAATAAGAGATCTTGAATGCTAGCAGGGCTTCTGTTTCAGGCTGTGCAGTCCTCCAGATTAGCAGTACTGTGCTAATGCTTGAGGACGTACTTATTGCTTCTAAGAAACTCTGGAACTTTAAAGCTTTGATTTTCCAGGGCGGCTGGATATTCTGGTTGTTTGATTCTAAGTAGCCGTGGGACTTTCCTTCACTGCTTCTTAGCTTTGATTGGAGGTATAGAAATGATTTCTTAGTTTAATAGGAAGAGTTAGTGCAGCCTTTGTTTTAAATGGTTTCGTGTTTACAATACTTTCTCCATTAACCTGCAAAAGATGGGTTATAATGCCTGTGATGATAGCACGTAGAGTTAGTCTTTGAAGAATAAACTAGAAAAAAACACACTAAAGCAATTCTGAGTATCTATCATTGCAGATACATTGGAATAATTAAGTTCATTTCCCTATATGCAAATTATGATAACACAAGTAATTGTTATGATACAATGGTGTACAAAAAAGTGCGTGGTTATTTCTGTTCTTGATGAAGAAATACTAGTATGTTAACATAACTAGCTGTAGCTTATGAAGATGTTGGCCAGAATGTGATTTGTGTTGGAATTTTATTCTTAACTTACAGCAATCTAGAAGGTAGAAATATCCGGTGAGAAGTTATTACTGATCTTGAAGCAGATATGTGATTTTTCTTTTTCCTCATCACCTCTGACTCTCTTACAAACTCTTCTATCATTGTTTTCTTACACTGTGCACTAGCTGTAGCAAGTGATAATAAGTGATAAGTGTTCAATAGCATTATTTTATGGGGTAGATGTACTTATTCTAGCTTGAAGGTAACAGCATAGGAGAGCCAGCAGCCATTTAGATGCCACCTGAGAGGAAACAAATCATGTTGACTTTTTGCTGATTTTGATTTAAACAGTAAGCATACAGTAAGTGTGCTCCTGGGGCTAGACAGCATTTGAAAACAGAGAGGTTATTTCTGAAGAAAATTTAAAGAGTTTAAACTCTGGCAAGAAAGCATGAAACTCTGAGGCAAGCTCTAAGGCAAAACAGTTGCCTTAACTGTTAACAGAATTAATTGAGAAACTTTTTTCACAGAAGGAAGAAGCTTCCACCATCTCTAAGGTTATAAGAATACTGATAGAAGTTAATAACATAGGAAAAAGCTTGATGAATAATTTCTTACAAGTAATAAATCAAAGCAAGTGTCTTAAACTTGAATGCTCAATAAAATAGGCTCTAGAGCAGTAATAAATTGCTGGAATCAAGGTAGTATTTGGCAGAGTATTAAGAAAACTGAAATGGGAAGTTGCTAAAGCATGAACTGGAATGTACCTCAGTTGGCCTCGCACTAGAGGAAAGAAAAGTGACAGCTGTCATACTTCAGAAAAAGCTTTTCATAGAATTCAAGATGATTCCAGTTCTTTATTGGCTAGGCAGAGGACAAAAATCTAAGCGTAAGAGGTTTTGGCTTTGTTGTTTTCTTTCTTGCTTTCTTATCTGACAGGGGCAGTCTGTCAACAGGAAGAACCCTGTATCTAATCACTGCAGCTTTTAAAAAATCCCCTCTTAACTACTTTTCTGTAACATTTCACTCAGCTGCCTCTATGCTGCAAGGTCTGGGAACCAGCAGCTCGAGAGACTGGGGTGAGTGAACTAGGTGCCTGTAGCTGTGGCCGTGCCCCCAGGTAGTGATGTGTGCAGTATTAACTTCCTCTTTCTTCTGAGAGGGGAGGAGTGGCACACTGTTGTGTGCATCTATGTTTTACCATAGTCCTGTCAGTGTTCTGTGGGGATGTTGTTTAAGAAAGTTAGTGCCCTGCCTGGCTAGTTGGCCGTATTAATGTTTTCAGAATGAGTGTGTATTTTTGTGAACCTTGAGTACGTGTTCAGCCTTCCATCAGTATTCAACATTCATTGGCCTAAAACAGGGAGCCTTCAGGATATTGAGGTGCATGCACTGGGCTCTACCAGTAGGAAATTTCCCAGGTGGAGGGAGAGTCCCAGAGGAGTCCACAGTCTGAGACTGCTGGATGTGGCAGCTGTTACCCCATGTCAGTGTATGTGCAGCAATATTCCAGGCTGCATGTCCACAGCTCCAAATTACTATTTCCGTCTCATTTTTTTCCATGGAGCACAGGCCTTTACCTCGGTGGCCAACTTTCTTCACAGCTGTCCTTGTATGCATAGTAAGCAGCAAAAAGCTGTATAGATAATTATAGCTAGCATATAGTAGAGCCTGCACATCTTCAGTGAGCATTAAAAACCGTTCCTTTACTTACAAGCGTATGTGTGTTTCAGTCATCAGCAGCACTGCAGGCTGTTTGGATGATGTATCTTTAAAGGATAAGCATCTTTCAATTAATTGTTCAAATATTTTCTGGTCTACCAATCCACCTTTAAAAAGTATTACAGGTGCCTTTGAAAGGCTGCTGCAATCATTATGGAGGCTGCAGGTGGTCCATAGTCTAGCAGACAGCTGCTATCGGTTATGCTTTCAAGGTCTTTGATTACTTTGGCTGCAAAGCTATAATAGTCATACTTCTAGGGGGGTCTTTAGCACCGCTCTCTTGTACATAATGTATGGAGTTTTTGTTCAGTAGGTTTTTGTGCAGAGTCTGAGTCTTATGTTTAAGTAGAAGATAGAACTCTTGGTAGTTACCTGGTTTTCACAGTTCTCACGCAAAAGACCTTTTGTTGTTGTTGTTGAAGAATGCTCCAACATAAGGAGTAGCGGTATTAACAATCTTTAGCCAAATTTGTTATCCTAAAATGATGAATAATCTTTATAAGATGAAAAGTCTAAGTCACCATTTCTGAAAGAGAATGAGACCTCTGGTATCTCTCCGTTTTGTTTGAAGCTAATGTGTAAAGATACTTTAGAAATGCTGGAAACAACTATGTTGCTAAGATGTTGCAGTGTTACATATATAGGTGGGATTTCCTTTGTCACGCTGATTTCTCGTCAAAGTATTGAAGTGTATTTCAAAAGATGATTGGGAAAAGCGCATACAAAATGGACCAGATTATGATTTCCCACCGTAGTGGTATTAGTTGATTTCTGATTCAAATATTTTGTATTTTATTCACACTCCTCATCATATTTTTGTTACTGATTTCTGTCTTACTATGGTTCTGTGTCTTACAAGATCACAGAATAGCAAAGTCTTTCATACTGCAAGCTGTACACAAAGATAGGTGTGAATTGTACATTTGTCCCCAAGCATATTAAAAAAAAAAAAAAAAAAAATCAGCTGAATTTTATGAAAATGTAGCTCTACTATGATGTGAACTTGAGGCAATAGTTATTTCCTGGGATTTATAGTCATTGGTTGACATGAGAGATGTGGCGAAAGCCAAAGATGTCAAAAAGGAATACAAAGAAAAACAGCCATCTGAGCTTTAAAACAAACAAAAAACAAAAAACAACTCAACCCTGATCATCTAAAAAAAAATTCTTGTAAACTGTTTTTTTTTGTTGTTGTTATTTAAATGGAAAATGACCAATACGTGAGACACAGGTACCTGAAAACAGATGCTGCACTAAGTGCTACTGAGATAGTTAAACAATGTGTTACAGATCCTGAATTTGAACATGTAATACAGTGGATTGTTTCTCCAAGTAAGCAGGTAGTATAGGCCTTTGTTAAGTCTTCTGGAAGACATTACTATAGACGACATAATGTTTGAGAATGAGATCGCTGGCAAATCCAACAGTTCTCTTAATAACTGTCCTTTCCCATGTCCATTTCTGAACAAAATTAGAATTGTATTTACTTTCTAGTAATTACTAAAATTCTTTGTGTGCTTGTGGCAAGTAGTGCAGTGTAAAAACAACCAGCAAAACACTGCATCATAAAATCTATTTATCGTTTTTCCTGAAGGTAATAAATATTGCAGGCAGCATATCAGGTTTTCAACTTATCAGTAACACTTCCTTTAGAACAGTTGTGTTAAATCTTACCGACTTAATGAAAAGATGATTATTAGAATAGGAGACTCTTTCCCTATAACTGTCTCTTGTATTCTTAGGCTCCTCCAGGAAATGTGAAAATGCCTAATGTACCCAGTACTCAGCCAGCAATAATGAAACCAACAGAAGAACCACCTGCTTACACTCAAATTGCAAAGGTTTGTCTATAACTTTCAGGCACTAGATTCCTTTTAAATATAATTATGTAACATGCTTCTGGAACAGTCTTCTATAAATAAGTATTGTTTTCCTGCTGATTTATGAAAATTAATACTGCTTTAACATAAGCAGTTACTCCATGCAACACAAAGTTACTCTTATGCAGAACTGGAAATGCTTAATTATGTGAGGTAGGCTTAGAATATTTATTTTTGTACATAATCAATATCTAATTATGTCTGTTTTGTTCAGGAGCATGCCTTGGCCCAGGCAGAACTACTAAAGCGTCAAGAAGAATTGGAAAGAAAAGCTGCTGAACTGGATCGCAGAGAAAGGGAAATGCAGAGTCTCAACCAGCAGGGGGGTATGCATGAAAATTGTTTTTTAATTGCAGAATTTAATTTCTTCTAAGCAACCATTTTTGCTTTATAGTGACATTGTAAAACAGATCTGAAAAGGTTTTTATAATCTCTTCTGGAAAATTCACCTCCTTTGAAACAGTTCATACAATCCAGTAAAAACGGGCTTGTACAGTGCAAATTTTCACAGCAGTAATATTAAATGTGGCCTTTGTTACATGTTAGCCTCAGCTGTCAGTTATTTTTATTCTAATCTCCAAGCAATTCTATTTAATAGAAGTGGAATGTTTACAGAAGTAACCTCATCTGTAGAATGCCTTTTTTTTTTTTTCTCCTCTGAATTTATAACTCTAGAACATCTCAGTTTTGTAGCGTTTTCTTATCTTTTAGTATGTTCTGGGTATAATATTTATGCAAATAGCAGAAAGAAAGTATTAATCTTTGATACGAAACTTCAGAATCCATAATCAAGATCTGCATCTCATTTTGTCACAAATTGCAACTGTGCTGTTTAATACCATCAATTTTCATACTGCAATTTCACAATTGAGAAGATAGCTATATTCTCCTCACTGAAGATTTAGCTGAGGATACTATTCCTTTTCAAAAGGAATAAATTTAGACTGAAATTATAAGAATACCCAAAACACTTTGTGCAAGGTTGACTTTTGTGTGGTCTTTTCACTTGCACCTTGATTTCTGTCTGTTTTATTTTCACATGAGTCTCTGAGGTTTTATTTTCTCCTTTGGAAATAGAATTGTACACCTCTATATGTATAATCACACAGTAATTCAAATTCACAGGGAGTTTTCTAGCATGTTGTATACCCTCGGATCTGCTTATGAAAAGAGTCACATTCCCTTCATAAAACCATTTTTATTTTCTCTGTACTTACTCTTTTCATTGTCTTCATTAAATCTCTACCTGTCCTCCAACATAATGATTTTTTGGTTTATTTTTTCATTTACTTCTCCGTATTACCCTTCATATAATTTCAGTAACTTGCATTGTTGGTCTGAATTGATTACTTCACTCTTTTGTCTTTTGTGACAATTTTATTCCTTTTCATCTCTGTTTCAGGGAATAGAAGTCTAATACCTGATGCATGTTTCAGAGTATTTTTAAGCTGGTATTTATTGTTTTACCAGCTTCAGTTGTTTACATTGAAGCGCTTAAAGAACTCGTAAGAAACTAAAGGATTCTTCAAGAAGGCTAAACAGAAATGAGAGCTCCTAAAGCTTTAAGGAGAATGCTAAATTTTTAGCAAATGCCCAAGTAAAAGATGATGCAAAGCATGAGTTGTGCATTGTGACTGAGAAAAATACGCTTTTCCTTCTATTTTTTTCTTTTGTGCTCTCATTCTAACTGCTTTGGAAGTGCTGTAGGGGTGTCTTGATTGCAGAATAGGGCGTTCTGTAATAATACTGTGGATATTTGCATTTAGATCAAAATGGTGGCTGCATATCTAGGACACTCATCTTGTACAGCTGGCCTGCAGTTGTAAGATCTTAAAGTCTGATAGGTCTGCTCAATACCACATCTTTGGTCTTCTCTGTTTGTGTCCTGTTCAGTATTGCTTGTGAGCTGGCTGAAGTGTACTGCTTCTTATTTCAGCTTGTTCATTTGGCTGGTCTTAAAAAATCCATCAGTGTACTGGGATGTCTTCAGTGATGTGCCCACAGTATGAGTGCAGTTACGTTCACAGGTCTTGAGGTAGTAATGTTCTGAATTAAATAAATCTGACCTAGATCTTTGCTTATGATTCAGTACTGGAACATGACTATCTTAGAATAGCGATACATGAAATATCAAGCCATCTTACTATGCTGTCTTTCAGTCTTAGTTGAAAACTGGCACTGGCTTGTAAAAGCATATCAAATAGCATCATTAGTAACTTGAATTATTTGAAGATATCTGAGTTTTTCTGTTACTCTTGAAACTGAGAGAAACGATCATATATTGCCAAGTAAAGATCTGAATTGTTATCAATATTTTTCATAGAAGAAACTCCACAGTAGTTTTTAGAACAAGTGGGCATATTAATTTATTAACTTTTGTACATTCTTACTATAAATCATCAGCTCTAAAAGCCTAGGTGAAAAAACCTCCAATGAAAGAGGCAGACTGTTCAGCAGATCCTCACTGTTGAGGACTTCTGTGGACAGAACTCTCAACTTCATCTTCTGTTGGGTGAGGAAAGAATTTATTTCATAATACAAGTTTGTAAGATTTGCTAGCTTTCTGTTCTTACTAGGTGAAACTAGGGAAGCTATCGTTGAAGATGAAATTTGCAAGCAAAGTATTGTCAGAATTTCAAATAAAGATACTTCTAATGTTGTCTTTAACCCCCCTTTTTGAATATGGTGATTTATATGTCTGTTGTGTACAGGATTTGAAATGTTATGGTGAAGGTTTGTTAGAATTATCTTAGCTGGATCTCTTAATCTGTATTTGTTTACCCCCATAGATCAGCATGCAGGAATAAAAGATTGTGTTGTCTTTGAGTCCTGACCGTGTCTGAAATCTTTGTATAACAATGTAATTAGTTCTGTAGGGGCATCTTCTGTAGTTGAGAGTATTTTAACAGGTGCTTTTCTCAACTTTTGTGGGCTTAGAAGCAATACTTTGACTACAAACTGTATTAGGAACTAGTTAAAAGTTTTAGAGATATCCAGATGTAAAAAAATACCAGGATTCTGAGAATTAACACGGCCTTTCTATCTCTGGCCTTTGTATTCAACAAAATGATAGGTGAGTATAGCACATGTTGGAGAAACGTGCATTTAGAGGATAAGAAACGTTGAAAATTTGTTTTTCTGACCAAAGCTTACTTACTGTTGTTTTTTTTTTTCAGTGTTTCTTTTCTTGGTACTCTATAGGAGCTATCAGTTGCTTCCTTAGGCATTTACATAGATAAAATAGATAGAATTCACTCATTTCCTTGATCTGTCTGAATTTCATCATACCTTATTTCTAAAATTTGTTAGGATTGGTAATAAAATTCTTGGGTTTTGGTAGCCCAAGCTATCTATAATCTCTTTTTCTAGTGTAGAGAGATTGAATTTGTATTATAATGTATTTTTCTGTTTTTTTTAATTATTATTATTATTTGCAGGTAGAAAAAATAACTGGCCACCTCTTCCTGAGAACTTTCCAGTGGGACCGTGTTTCTACCAGGACTTCTCTGTAGATATTCCTGTAGAATTCCAGAAGACTGTAAAGATCATGTACTACTTGTGGATGTGTAAGTATTTTTTTAAAAGAAGAAACAAATCGCTAATTCAAACTTGATGATGATGCTTCTTGCTTTGGCTTTTGCAACATCTGTGATATATTTTTAAAATCCAGAAATTAAATATTTAAATGACACTTTCTTGTTCATTTTGACTTTAGAAACACTGTATTAGTTCATAGAAAATCCCCTGGGGATAAAAGGTTTATCCTAAAGCAGTTTTGCATTATATATTGTATGCTATTTAAATCTCATTATTATCATAAACCAATATTTGACCATTTGTTACCTTAGAAATAATTTTACTATTTTTAAAATCAGTTTGCATATGAAGAAATTGTACATTTCTATATGTACAATACATGGTTCACAATTCATTGTTGGTGTTAATATACTGTGATTTTAAATGTGTAATATCCTTTTGCTTTAATGTGCATACTTACAGTTCTGTGTAGTTTTAGTATTATTTTAGTATTATTTTGTATTATTATTCGTATGTTGCCCTCATTCAGAGAATGTGTTTTGAAGAAATGCTGAATGAACCAAATATACAAATGACATTCTACCCCTTTGCAAGGATCAGGGCTCACCAAACACTCCAAAGGATGCAGTCTTCAAGTAGAGATCCTTCCCTTGTGGTTGCCAGCCCTTAAATGAGGTTAGGGAGGAATGAAGCTATGATTTATGCCTTCCAGTTACACAGGTGAATTGCTTCCACCTGTGCTCTCAGGGCCGTGCTCCCCCACCAGGTGTTCTCAGTTGCTGGTTCAGGCCATGACCTAACAGTTCCCATACAGCTGTTAGTATGATTGAAGTATGTATATGAAACATGTAAAATGAGTAGAGAACATTAAATCAATTCCATCTCATTCAATTCAGTTCATCAGTTCCACACCTGCTTGCTGTTTTCATTGCTGGGCCATCAATCATTAACGTAGGTCCATTGTAGGTAGAACACATGATTAGTCATTCTCAAAAATCAGACAGGCATTTCAGATTTATATCAAATGAAAGGTTAAGGGCTCAAGAATTTTAAGATGCGAGTATTTTCTATTCTGCATCCTCTTTCAGAACTTCCTAGGACTTTTAAGGCCTAAGGATAAATCTGGGACTGACTGCTCTGCACTTTGTAAAGTTTTCCTGTCTTTTCTTTTTTTCTTTTTTTTCAGCTGTAAGAACATGTCATTTAATGTGTGTGTGTTTCTGTGTTGGTTTGGTTAGTGTCAATTTTAATACTTTTTTCTTGGCCATTATGTGGCCAAGATTGGCAATATTTCTTCAGTATCTGAAGAAACTTTTTTTTACCTGTTTCAGATCTGTGCATACCTTATCTTGTGAGAATACAAACCTGCTTGTATCCTTATTCCTGTGAATTCATCCCTATTTTCTCTGCTTCCACCAGAAGTCAGAGTCCTCTGATTTCTTGATGTGTTTTTTTCTTTGCACGTATCTTTTTTTCTTCCTGGAAAGAGCCACCCCTTTTTCTTTTTTCACTGTGTGCTTCCCCTTGTTTTTGGACTATAGCAGTTACATGGTAATGGCTTCTGTCAGCTGCCAGTGGTTTGTTTCTGTACTCTTTTTTGCTGCCACTGCTGTTTTGGTGACTTGCAGATGAAATTGCAGTTTTTCTTTCTCTGTGACAGTGGGCACTAGTTTTTAAATCTGTTTTTAAATGTTGCTAGAAGTGAAATGTCTTGTTTTTTGATCACTTCCTGACACCAAATTTTTTTTTGGCTCAGAAACCTATTTTCTAGTTACACTCCCCACAGCACAATTGCATGTGCAAAAAGAACAGTGTTAGTTTTCAAGGAATTTTTCTTATTTAAAGTTTAAGAACTGAAGATCTCTTTAGTCTTATGGAAAGCATTATGGCATTTGGCTTGGTTTCTTGTTTTTGTTTGAATTTTTCCTGTGACGAGATTTTTGAAGGCAAATGATGTAAACTACAGATGATAGTGGAAGTATACTCTTAAGGTGTCAAATTATGTGATATTTTCCTATTTAGATTTCTTTTGTCTCATCCATTCTCTGTCTGAGGATACAATCAGTAGTGTGTATTCATCTGCGTTCATGTTTTGTTTTGGCATTTCCTGATATCTTCAAGTGTGGGCACTTCATAAGCTCCTTCCAAGCATGCTCTAGTGTTGCTGTCTTTATCATTAGATGATGTTTCCAAGTATGTAATTTAATTCTCCAGTGCTGTCAATGATCTTACCTGTGCCATCTATTGTTGTTACAAAAGACCATGTGTCTCCTTTAGTTTTTTTTTTTTTCAATTGAAGTAGCATAGTTCACTCAACCGTTCTTTGTTGGTCATGTTTTCTAGAGTTCTGATTGATGTAAGATCTGTTGATATCTTACAGATTTGCTATTTGGTCCACTTCAAATTATTATGGCATTTTTATTATATAGCATCTAGAATTGGACAGTGTGGACTAGATCCAATATTTTAGATGAAGTCTTAGTGTATTGCGTATAGAAGGAAAAAAAATGTCATACTTCTGATAGTATATGCTCATACTCCTGTACACTATTAACAATTCTTGGGGTTTTTTTTTGCAATAGCTTGGTGTTGTCCACTCATGGTTTTGTGATGGTGCGTGGTGACTGTTGTTGTCATAAGCCCATTCAGGAAGAGCAGCACATCCATGAGTTGTGTTGGTTGGCCAGTGGGCTGTGTATTGAGGGACATTCTTTTTTTTTCTAAGCTTCTGTTTGGGTGAATTTTGAAAGTGAAAATCATCTTGTGCTGATCAAAGCCTGTTTTATTCCTATGGCAAATATTTGTCATTCTTAAGGTGTGTGTGCAGATGTCCCCCACCCCTTTCCAGAAAGAGCAGAACAGACAAGGAATGAAAGTCTAAGCTCAATTTTAAGCTAACTTGTGTCTTCAAAATTCTCCGTAGACATCTCATTCACGTCAAGCCATGCTGTTAAAGGGTGGCAGCCCAGCTGGTTCCTGGGGGAAAAGCGTATTTTTTTGCCTTGTATCCCAATGAGGACTTCATTGTCACAGTTGTTGGATGAGTGCAGAGTTGTGCCAAACACTGAAGTAATTTCAGCCCTCGCAGTTGTCTTTGAGGAGGTAGAATATTTTTAGAACTGTTGCACGGAACTTGGAAACACCTGCCTACTCCCACAGTGTTTGTGTGAAGGCATTAGCTCTCAGAACAATTGCATCTAGTAACAAATGCTTCCAGTAATCAAGGAGATCTTCCTGTTTTCCAGTATTGTCTAGAAAGAAGAAAAAGACTACCCCCTGAGATAGTTTTCTCATATTTATGGAAGTATAGTAAGAGTTTGTATCATTTGTTGTGCTTCCTGATGAGTACACACCAGAATTCTAACGTGAGTTTATCAGAACAGTGCTAAGATATGTAAATGAATTAAGCGCACTTTATTTAAAAGTATGATGTTTTCTGGTTTTGGTGACTCTGAAAGAAGGACTTTTCTGAGGAAGATATTTTGAGTTCCTTTATTTTTGGTGCAGTAATGTAGGCATTTTGTTTATCCACTTTTTTTTTTTTTCCCTAGTAAGTTGATTTAAGGCTTGCTTAAAGCACTGATTGAGAGGGAATGAAGCAAAAAGCTTTGAAGACTATTTTCAGAATCTTTGCAATCTTACCAGTTCTTCTGTTGAACTTACCTTACAGTAGAATAACTCAAATTTCTCGTAAGCAGCTTCTTGCAGCATTGTTTGCATACTCTTAATTAAGAGAGTGCTGCACATTTTACAGTGAGCCGGTAGAATCACTGCTGAATCACTGGGTGCTGCTGAGCAGGCACAGAAATTCATTTTTATCTTCTTAGTATCCAGAAAAAAAAATAATTTCTATGCCAGATACTATGGAAGTGTTTCATAATCAGGTACTATGAAAATATTTTCATAATGTAATATTTCTTACTACTGCTGTGTTTTTTGTTCCAGGAGAAAAGTATTTTTGAAATAACTGTCAGAATGCCAGTGCATTTCCTTCAGTTGAAATTCTAACCTGTCACGTGATTATGTTTTATGGATCAGTGTATTTTCAAAGTAGAGTATTTTGCTCTACTACATGTAAGACAGATAGCTTTTGGTAAAAATATATTTGATGTATTTTATATTTAGGTTATATGTTGAAAGTTCCTTTCAAATTAGAGCATGTCTAATGCTAATTTTTAATATATTTTGCATCGCTTGTAGCATTGTCTTTATAAATATATAGTAAAGCAGTGGAAATGTATTTTAATATTAAGGCTGATACACTGCATTTATTTACTTGCCTTACCTAAGAGAATGTAAACAGCCTATTGAGTGCATATGTACATAGTCAAGTAGGTATAGTAGAAGAATCATCCATTACTGCTGTAAAAACTTTTTTCTTCACCCTTTTAGTTGTAAGCGTTTTATCTTCACCATATACCTGTTAAGACTTGATTTCTTTCATTCAGTGCTTTCACTTGGGAATGTTGACTTTACCTGAAAGTTACTGTATAAAAATCAGTTGGATTATTGCAGAGAGGATGTTTTATTTACAGCATGTTTAGTGTTTTGGGTATTGCTTTAACAGTTAATCTTTTCATACATGACCATAATTTAATTAAGACTTTTTTTTTACTTGTGCTTCTGCAGTCCATACAGTGACACTGTTTCTTAATATCTTTGGATGTTTGGCCTGGTTTTATGTTGATGCTACTCGAGGTGTTGATTTTGGATTGAGTATCCTCTGGTTCTTGCTTTTTACACCTTGTTCTTTTGTCTGCTGGTACAGACCACTTTACGGAGCCTTCAGGTAAAAACCTCATCTTGACTTGTAATACATTTCTTAAATATTCTACTTGTAGAAATGCACTAACATTTTAGCATTTTTGTGATTAGGATGGTTCTTTAATCTGACTTCATTAGAAACAAACAGTATGTCTGCCATTAATTTAATTTCTGTATTTCAAATATAAACAGCAGTACTTAGAAATATCATGGAACATCCTTTAAATATTTACCGTTTCTACCACTGACATAGTAATAACTTTTTTCTTTTGGGCTGGTAACAATTTTAAGCAAAATTCTCAGTGTATTTCTATCCCTTTGCACCTGAGTAGATCTGCAGTTAAAGGTTCTTAAATTTTTGGCTTCTTAAGTGAAATTTATGAAACCTGCACTTCATTTTTTATTGTCCAGTGGCCTGAAATGCCTGAAGTTATTGTAGACTGAGATTCTTAAGCTTGAGTAGAGCTAGCATTTAATAATCAAGTTTCATTATTTTTTTTCCAGCTTTTACTGATCTGTATTTGGTAGGCGTCACAATCTTGAAATGCATCAGTGTTGAAAAACAGAATGGTTGCAAAATTGAACTTTCTCATGTTGATTGAAACAGTTTGAGTTTTCTTGCTCTTAGAATATTTTTTAAATTGATTTTTACATTGAATTGAATCAGAATATTGTCAGATTAAATACACTTAAATTAAAGATTTATAGCCGCAAATTGCAGTGTAGGCTAAATTACATGTTTCTTTTTGATAACCAAGGAAATGCTGTTGTACCTACTTATCTTTGAAGATTTGTGTAGCTTAAACTACATTTTCTCCGGTCAACTTGTTTTTTGTAACAAACAATAATACCAGAATGCATGATGTAAATAATAACTGGTTGGGTTTCTTTTCGTTTTTGTAGAACCCAGTCTTCTTGAGAGCACTAGAGAAGTGGTAGCTTTAACTGGTTATAGATCTGACATAGTGATGATTTATAAATAATTGTTATTCCTGATTTGCTGGAGGAATTCAGTGTCGCATTCTCTTCTAGGGTTTTAGATCTAGTAAATCTATAGCATTTCTTAGTTGTTTGGAAGACAATTACTCAACTTTTATACTTTCTTTTTGTGCTGAACAGCTGAAGGCAGTACTTACTGAACTGAAAGTATTGAATCAGTAGTAATGAAAACATTCCCTCCACAAGAAGTGTTCCTGCTAGCAAAACCTGATTGCATATTCTTAGTTGGTATCTTAACTAAGTGACTTTTACTTTATTTGGAACTTCAGGAGCAAGCATGTCAATTCGTCCCTAGTTTTGAGATCTTCATTGAGGCTTTATCTGTTCATTTGGATTTGGATTTTTTTGGACAGGCTGTTGACACTTCACTCCTTGTCAAGTTGGTATTTTAGAATTTAAACAACAAGCATAATTGTATATTTTGCTTTTAAACAGCAATTGCTTCAGTACTGTGATCTGCATTATATCTCCATAATTCCGAATTAGATTTTATTTTATTTCAAGTAAAAGATTTTTGTACAACACTGCCAGTACTGTGAATTTCAAAGTTCTGTTCTGCATTCACTGTGGCAGAACTTCTGTGTTTACTTTAAGAGACCCTGCTTTGTGCTGAACAAAACACAAAGGAGTAGCACCTTGCTGGTATTTGCACCTCTTGAAGAGATGCAAGAGGCAAAGATACTGTATTAAAGAGGAAAACTCTTGTAAATAAACACAAATCACAGAATCAGCAATACTTGAGGTCATAATCAATAATTCAAAATAGTTTTCATATAGTAAATGCAGATTTTTTTTTTTTATAGTATAGTGGTTTGTCAGAAGTCCTTTATTTCCTGGCTGCATTACATTCTTTTTTTTCCCCCTCTTTCAGGAGTGACAGTTCATTCAGGTTCTTTGTGTTCTTCTTTGTGTATATCTGTCAGTTTGCTGTACATGTACTTCAAGCTGCAGGATTTCAAAGATGGGGAAACTGGTGAGTATTCTATTTTCTAAGTATGACAAACATATTTGATATAGCACCTGCAGTGTAGTCTGTGGTTTTGTGTGTGTATATATATATATATATATACATCTACACACATATATTGTTTTTACTAGAATTGTTACATTTGGCACTCAGAAAAGCTTAAGTGAAAGATATCCCAGGAGTGTGAGGTACTTCTGTTACTGGGCTGTACAGAGTTTTGCTGTTTAATGTACACAAATCTGAACTACTTTTATACTTTCTGCTATGTTTTAGTGGTATATGGAGGTGTTACATGCTTAGAATAAGGAAAGAAAACACAGAGAAAATTAGAGTAATTTAGACATAATAGTATGCTGTTTGCTTTTTTTGTTATTGTTGTTAGTTATTTGTTGTTATTTCATGTTTAACACTTGCTAATGAAATTTACTGAAACTTGCAGAATGAGTCAGTGTGGTGTTTGGGAGCATATAGTGGTCTATGCCTGGAGAGGTTGTGAGGTTTCCTTCTCTGGAGATTCTCAGGATTCACCTGGACACCTACCTGTGCAACTTACTGTAGGGTACCTGCTTTTGCAGAGGGTTTGGACTCTTGAGGTCCATTCCAACCCCTGCAATTCTTTGTGATTCTGTGTGATTTTTGGTATTGTTTGAAAAGCTCAAATGTCTAAGACAACTGCGTATTCTGTAGTAGTTAATTTTTCTTTTTGCTGCACATTAATGCAAGGCTGCTCTGAGGTTAACGTCTCCTATTTTATTATGTTGGTCGACATCAGAGGCAAATGTTGGTGGTATGGCAGTAGACGCTGAAACTTCACACCGGTATTCTGTTACGTTTTGTTGTTGTGTGACAGATGGCAGCAGAGGGATAGTCTGCAAAGTGGCATCTGACATGGACGTGTGTATGGTGCAAAGGTGTGTCGTTGAATTCCTCTACACAAAAAAAAGTTACACCCATTGACAGTCATTGACACTTGCTGAATGTTTACGGAGACCAAACAGTGGATGTGTGCACAGTGAGGAAGTGGCAGTGCATTTCATCAATGGCAACTGCCACCTGATCACCTCCACTGGGGTGCAGATTTTTACAAATGTGCTATGCAGCTCTTGTTCATGGCTGGTGAAAGTGCATAGCTAAAGATGGTGACCGTGTTGAAAAATAGTGCTTTTTAGCTAAGAATTTGCACTATCAAATTGTGCTGTGCTCCTTATAGCTGCTGTAGTTTCCATGGAAATGAGTAGGAGCTATCACTTTTGGAACCACCTATGTATATAAGCTTTAATTTGAAAGTCCACCGAGTCATAGAATCACCAAGGTTGGAAAAGTTTCAAGGTCATCCAAACCAACCACCCACCTACTATCAGTATTTCTCTACTAAACCTTAGTACAACATAGAAACTTTTCTTGAACACCTCCAGGGACAGTGACTCACCTGCTTCCCTGAGCAGCCCATTCCAGCTCCTGACCACCCTTATGGAGAAGTTTTTCCTAACATCCAACCATTCCCTCTATCCCTACAGCTAGTTAGATGGGAGAAGAGGTCAACCCCTATCTCATCACAATCTCCTTTCAGGTAGTTATAGAGAACTATAATGTCTCCCCTGAACCTCCTCTTCTCCAGACTAAATAATCCATGTTCTCTCGGCCACTCCTTGTAAGACTTGTGCTCCAGACCCCTCACCAGCTTTGTTGCCCTTCTCTGGACATGCTCCAGGACCTCCATTTCTTTCTTGTAGTGAGGGGCCCCAAACACACTGTTCAAAGTGTGGCCTCACCCGTGCTCTGTACAGAGGGATGATCACTTCCTTGCTCCTGCTGACATCACTATTTCTGATATAGGCCTGGATGCTATTGGCCCCCTTGGCCACCTCAGTACACTGCTGGCTCGTGTTCAGCCGAGAATCAACCAACACCCCTGGATTCGTTTCTTCTCCGCAGTCTCCCAGCCACTCTGCCCCAAGCCTGTGGCATTGCCTGGGGTTGTTGTGGCCAAAGTGCAGGACTCGGCACTTGTTGAACTCCATCCCAGTGGCCTCAGCCCTGAGATCCAGCCTGTCCAGATCCCTTTTCAGGGCCTCCCTACCCCCAGGCAGGTTGATGCTTCCTCCCAGCTTGGTGTCATGTGCAAACTTACTGAGGGTGCACTCAGTGCCCTCATCCAGGTCATCAATAAAGATATTAAACAGGACAGGCCCCAGTACCAACCCCAGGGGAACACACACTTGTGACCAGTCACAGCTGGATTTAATTCCATTCATCACCACTCTCAGGGCCCGGCTCTCCAGCTATCTGTTTACCCAGTGAAGAATATACCTGTCCAAGCCATGGGCTGCCAGTTTCTCTTGGGGCATACTGTGGGAGACAGTGTCAAGGCTTTCCTGAAGTCTGTGTAGACTATGTCAACAGCCTTTTCCTCACCTTTCCTTATTCATCAGGTGGGTCACTCAATCATAGAAAGAGATCATGTTGATCAAGCAGGACCTGCCTTACATGAACCCATGCTGCCTGGGCCTGATGGCTGGTTTTCCTGCATGTGCCATGTGATCTCACTCAAGATGATCTGTTCCATAACTTTCCTTATCACTGAGGTCAGGCTGACAGGCCTGTAGTTCTCCAAGTACTCCTTATGATGCTTCTTGTAGATGGGCATCACATTTTAAGCCTCTAGTCCCCTGGAACCTCTCTGGTTGACTAGGAATGTTGATAGATGTTGGAAAGCAGCTTGGCAGTAACCTCTGCCAGCTCCTTCAGCATCCTCAGGTGGATCCTGTCTGACCCCATGAACTTGTGATAGTCCAGGGGCAGTAGTAAATCTCTAACTGTTCTCACCTGAATCATGAGGAGTTCACAATACTTGAATTTTACGTTTAAAAATTATTGGGAATTGTTACCATTCCTGCAAAAAATCCTCAGCAAATCAGAGCTAGCTAAAAGCATGATTGCAGTAGCCAGTTGATAGCATGGAATGCTGTGACTGGCAGTACAGTATTTGGGTAATGATATTTTTCTATATCAGCGATATTTTGCAACTAATCTCCAAACACTTGTACAGCAGCCAAAACAATACTGCTTTAAACTGGAGCATAATGAAAAGTCCTGTTTCATTATTTTTTTGCTCTCAAATTTATTGTGTTCCTTTTTTGTAGATACCATGATTGACGTGAGAAAAATAAAGTAATTTTGTAGGGGCCGCTTTCCTAGTGTGGAATATGCTTCTAGGGATCATGCTTTGCAAGATGAGTATAAAAAGTAGCCAGATCAGAAGATGCTGTTTACAGTTCAGACTTTGGGGATTTGTAGTAGAGTCCAGTTGGGCATAGGGAATCAGAGCAGTATGAAACAGGTAGAGGAAAATTTTAGTGTTTTGAAGATTTACAGAATTGATTTGCTCTCTTAATTGGAAGAATCTTCCATCTTGATGTTCTGTTTTTCTTAAGGCAGCCTGCTTTTTTGTGGTTTAAAGGTTTGGTATTGTTCTTCGCTGTTGATGTTACAGTTAAAAAATAATAATGTTTAAAGTAGAGAATGAGTAGTTAATATGACTTTTGTGTTAATTGATTTATTAGATAAAGCTTTCTACTTTAATAAATTATCATACTAACACCAGTTGAGAAACTTCACTCTGTGGATATAGCTCAGTAAATCTTCCCACATACAGGATGTATGTATAGTATATTTTTGTGTTGTTTTAAAAGAAATTTTAAGAGTTTTTTAAAGTGACTTTTTCACAAAGTCATGCAGTTTTAAATCAATCTGAACTGATATTATGACCAAGGGTAACCAAGATTGATAAACTACTCTGACATTTCTTTAATTTCTTGACTTATACTGAAGTTTTCCTGACAAAGTAGGAATGTAGCTGTAAAAACTGGCTACAATACAGAAATGTTCTCGTTGGCAATTTTTCTGAATTTCCTTTCAAAACTTTTTGGAGTTGACTAGAACCAGGAGTTTATCTAGCTTCCCTCTGACGTGGATGAATGGTTCCTGTACTGTTCAAGTAAAGTTTAGTGTTTTTCTTTTTCTTCCTTCAGTGGATGGATTTCGTCTCTTACTGGTCTTAATAAGAGTATTCCTGTTGGCATTATGATGATCATCATAGCTGCACTTTTCACAGCATCTGCTGTGATCTCATTAGTTATGTTTAAAAAGGTAAGCTGTTTATTCCACTTCTCTGCTTTCTGTGTTTGGCCTGGAATTTGTTTGAGAGTGGCACACAGTCACAAAGCAGGGGTTGATGATGTGATATTCTTGGGAGGTCTGCTGTGCTTCTGTAGTACTATCTACCTTACTCCTATGTTTAATGATTTTCACATAGCGAAACTACTCTGTCCCTCAGGCATGAGTCAGAAATGTTAAGGATAGCCTAGAGATGTCAACCTCTCATTATTTCTTTTCTCCATAAATACGGAGGTACAGGAGAAGGAATCAAGAAATATGTAGAACAGGGTTGGTTGTTTTTTGTTTTTTTTTTTTTTTTTGTCTCTGCATCTGCATTCTTTCAGAAAGCCTGCATGCTCAGCATGCTCAGATGTGACAGGGTATAGCTTCACAAATGAAAAATAGTCACATTTCTAACATAGGAAAAAAGTTACAACATCAATTTGTCTGCTGTGTGTAATGGAAATATCTTTATAATACTATTTAACAACTTTATCAACTATTTAAAGACTTGAGTGAATACGAATCTAAAATTGAGATCTAATTTTAGTTCTCAGGTAATTGAAGGTTTCTCAGGATTTTGTTTTTGTATTATAAATCGTAAGCTGTATTGTTTGAAGAGTTTGTAAGCCATATGGTTATAATCTCTGCTTATTATGCAGACCTGTTGGGCATCATGCTAGCAGATGCATATCTACATTGCTAAGTTATTTTGAACTACACTCATTAATAGCTTAGCTTAATAGATTCTTATAAGCATGTAAATTAGAGATTTGTTTTTCTAAAGATTGATGTAGAACAAAGCTTTTCAGATTGTTATTGGCACAGTGGCACTACTTCTTTGGCTTTGTTTTCAGCTTCTTCTTTTAACATGGACATTCACTTTCAATGAGTATGCTAAATTGTAGGCAAATTGAGACGTAAGGTTTTGCAAGCCGTGTCCCTGTGTACTACTAAGAATACAGCCTGTTTTGCATACTTAAATACATTATTTTAGAAAGTGAGTATTAGAAAAGATAAAGACCTTTTGAAAGACCCCTGTGAAAGTGTAACAGAAATCCATGTGATCAAATTGTAGAGCAGGGCAATCAAAATCTGTAGAACCTCGTGTAGGAGCAGTCTGACTCATTTCCAGATCCTTCTGAACATAAAGTGAGATTTCTCTCCTGCACAGCTCTCCTTTGCTGTTACTCTACCAATGCAATGGAAAGTTCGTAACTGTGACTGCTTTCCCATGTTCCTAGGTTCATGGTCTCTACCGCACAACTGGTGCTAGTTTTGAGAAAGCACAGCAAGAGTTTGCAACAGGGGTGATGTCCAACAAAACTGTACAGACTGCTGCAGCCAACGCCGCATCGACAGCAGCAACCAGTGCAGCTCAGAATGCATTCAAGGGTAACCGAATGTAGAGGAAATAAAAGAAATTGTTGCGGTTCTCTTTGTGCTTTATTTTCAGGTCATTTATTCTGTTTCCTAAAAGCCTAGAATAAAATTAACACAGCATGTTTGTCTTTTCTCCAGCTGTGCATGGGTAAAATGGGAAATGTTAGTTTTGTTCTATTATGAATTTATTTATTTTGAAAGCATATTCTTTGCCCTTCTTTTAGAAGTTTCTATCTATGATGTAAAGCCCTCTGTATTTTATGGGAGATAAGTAGTTCCAACAATTAGCCTCATATTGGACAATGGTATCTAATTATCAAATAAATATATTAGGAATTTGATAAATTCTTCAAATTTTTTAGGGTAAGTCTTTTGATATAAACCTGTAAATTTTCATGAATGCTGTTGAGTTATCTGATCATACTGAAATCATGTTTTGGTCCAGAATTTACTTGCACCATTTTATAGCATTCGTTTTATCTATTTTCATGGAGTATTCTCTTCCTGTGAGAAACGACAATGATGCATAAACATTCTTTGTAACGGAATGTCTAATGCAGTGTACAAGTTAAGAAAGTTAGCTAACGGTTACAATCACAGACATAAATGATTATATACTATGTTTTTTATTTCAGTATTTCTTTCTTGAGGTAATAATTTTGCTGGAAAAGAACAGATATTGATGTTTAGAACACTAGTTTCTTGTTTAGCTCTCCTCATTGACCTGCAGTGGTATTTTTGTTTTGGGGATCCTTAGATTTTTTTTTTTTAGTGTGGTTTGTGTTGAACAGTGGTACTGAATCTCTAGCCTTGTCAGTCACTCTGTTTACTGCTTGTCCAAAAATATAAATACACAGTATTTAATTTTCTTACAATAATATTGTCTAAGATGAATCTTTCTAAGCAATGGCATTACAGATACTTGAATGCATTTTAACATAACTCAGCCATCTCTGTGATTTACACTTGGAAGAGCTTCCTGTTTCAAACTGAAAAAGTGAAAACTATTCATCTTTCACAACGTCATTGAGCTGAAGGCCGAAAAGATTGAACGGTTGCTGAGGAACAGAACAGTCAGTAATGGGATGTGCCATTGTATTGTTCTAAAGTTTAATCAGGTCTTTAATTATAAAGTGATGGATTTGTCCTTTGAAGGTTACTTAGAGTTCCTTGATTTGGCTCATGAGCATAATGTTTGGACTATTTTTTAAGCTTTGTTTTAGAAAATGAAAGCAGAACATCATCCCATGACCTGTAGTGTAATTTTATTGTGGATGAAATTTTTTCAGCTCTTAACGTGTGAATCACTTTTGGCAAGATTGAGCCAGAAGTTTCTGCGGCCCCTCCATGCTGACCGATTAAATCTTTCTCATACAGTGTATTTATAATAACATAAACTTTCTATTTTTTAGTGCTATTAACTTAATTCCTTGATGAGTACTACCATTAGCTGTAGTAATTAGTCGTCTTTATTTTACTGACTTCTTTAAATCCAACTTGAGTTTGGATAAATGTAGCAGTTTTACCTACACAGAAGTTTAATAATAATAATATGCTATCATCTAAATATTCTTTGAATCACAATGTTAAAAGCAATTTAAATGTTCTATCTAATAGGGGCTCTAAAATTTTACAGTAGTGAATAGGTTAGCCTTGAACTTAAATCTGTGTGGGATGTTAATAAAAGCTTTTCAGACAGGTCTTCATTTTCTGCTGAGATGGGGTCTACACTTCTAGCAGCTGTGCATCAAAGTTGTTCTTTTCAAAATCCTTCACATTTGACTTGGCAGTTCTGTTCAGGAGCTGTAATACGGATTATTTTGAATCTAAATTTAAGTAGTTGTCTTGGATCTCCCTCGGATTTGAATCCCAGTGACATAATCCTTGCTTTAAGCTGAAGAATGCATAATACAAATTACCTGAATATAATAGGGAAAAGATATACATTTAGGTATAAAAACCTGAATTTGGCAGGCATATTTTGCCAAATGTTTAAATGTCAATGAGAATGTTCAGTGTAGGCTGGGTGTCGATTTGTAATGTGCTGGGCTGAATATATGGATCTAAACCTGGTAAGCAAAATTCAAGAGGCAGTTATGGGAGCTTTTAAACCAGAAATCTAATGCTTTGCAGCCCAAAAGGGAGGAAGAAGTTTGAGTTTACCTTTGGCAACAGAAGGCCGATGTTGGTTAAAATACTTTTACCCAAATAAAATGATATTTCAGCCTCTTACTAATTACCAGACTATGGCACCCACTTGTCATTTTGTAGTATTGTGACAAATTGAGTACAGAGTATGAAGTTTAAACACTGGAATGTCAGTAGTCATTGATACGTAATATAGGAGTATTTATCATGGGGATGTTTGTATATTTTGTAAATTACTAACAATGCTCTGTCATCCTGGTGAATGTCATGATTCTCTACGAATACACTCCTGTCCCTCTGTTGCATGTCTGAGCTGTTCAGAAGTTTTGTATATTTATTGTATTAACACGGTGTCACAGAATAAAAAAAAAAACAACTTTTTTCTGGGATTTTTGCTCTGTATAGTTTTGAACAAAATAGTCTGTTCTTTCAGAATTCAGGATGACATGTGAGGCGGCTGATCTATGTAAAAATCTCACTTGCCTTTTGTAATTCTGTATATAAATGCTTTAATTATGCTGAAATGGGAAAGATGCCCACTATTGAAGTTATACATTAGGATAATCAGAACAGCCAACTCAGATATTATAAGAAACATTCTCAAATACTTGCAGCCTGCTTCCTTGTGCTAGATAGGTAGAGAGTCAAAATCTAAACATGTTTTGTCATTACTGAATGAAATTCTGTGGCTATCCATTGAATCCTGAAACGTTATTGAAAGTAAAATGAAGTTGCTGAAAGCAGCATTGGTTTGGTACTGCTTGTTTTCCTAATTTTGATTGAGTCGACACGTGTCACTGCTGTGTCTTGGTCTTTTATTCACTAGGTGCTACCAGTCGTTTTTTTCCTGTGATGTCACCTGTAACACCACCTCTTTTGTACTGAATGTATTTCTGGGTTTTATTTGAATGGGAAACAAAACATGAGTTTATCTATACGTCTGTGGTATCAGTACAGAGAACAGTGCTCAGGCACAGCCAGGATTATTCTGGGAGAGGGTGGCAGATACAAGACTTTGAAGATGCTGGCACACGTGTACATCATTAAGTAGTGAAGGTGTTCATCAGCTTGACCTGTGTCTTTGTAGCTTAATGATCTCGGGCGGCAGTGGCAGCAGTAGAGGAACAGGTTTTGAACACCTTACGTAAGGGACTGTGCGTATGCACACACCTGCTTTGAAATCCACAGGGATGTTTAAAGTAGTGATGCACTGAGCGGCACCTGTCCCTGAATTTGTTTGGGCTTTAGATTTCCAAAAGTCAAGGAAAATGCTTCAGGTCTTTCACCATAAGCTACTTCCTGCAAGCTTAGAAAGTGTCAGAAGCTTAATTAATTAATGTAATCAGACCTCAGTAACTATCAAAGAAAATGGACATCCTGACTTCTGTTTCAACTAGTAAAAGCCTTGCTTCTGGTTCTTCCATAAATTTGCTTAGAGAGCAACATGCTCTTCATTGTTTGTCAAGTTGCAGGTGAAAAATATGCACATTAAAGCAAGTGTAATTTAAAAGTCTGTGACTGAGCAGTTTTTGTTCTAAACTTTGTCTGCACGCCTCCCACTACCCACTTTTTCACGAGAAAGGAGTGGCAGTGCTTTAGTTGCAAAATAAAAATCACGTCAGACATGTTTTTAATTAGAGAGTCTCTTTAATGCGACTGTACTGTATAATGTATAGGTACAATTTCAAATCACATACTTTTTGATCAGTAATTGTTAGTCAGAAAACTAAAACACTAACAAAATCACTGGGCTGGGTTCTTAAATGCTATTAAAGCTACAGTTAAAGAAAACTTGCTCTGGCTAAACATACCTGATATGTTTGAATTAAGATAGTCATGCTCCTGTTACAGATCAAAAACTCACATTTTAATTGAAATTTAGATTCAGAAAAATAACACATTAGGTACATATTTCGTGCTAATAAATGTACATAGTGGTGACTCAAGAACAGATAAACAGTACCACAAATAAACCATGGCTCAACCTAATGTAGCTGGGTTGCCACAGCTTTTCTTTCTGTGGAGCGTGGCTGTGCTGTGTGTTGCTGCCAGGCCCTGCTTTTGTTGGGCTCTGTCCTTATCATAGGCAACAATGCCCATGGCTTTCAAGGGACACAAGTGAGATACGCTCATGTGGGATTCAAAACTGAAATGACTGGGCTGAAAAAATCTCAGAATCCGAAGAATGTGGAATAAAAATGGATAAGAAGGTGATATAGACAAGAAAGAGCTCAGTAGCAATTTTTTTTTTTTTTTTTTTTTTTGCAATGCCACATTATAAATAAAGCACACTGAGAAACCTAGCTGAACCTTTTCAGCTTTCAGATTGTACACAGCTAGAAATAGCTACAGCTTCACATTTCAACTGTCTGTATTATATAGATTAAATCACCCTAGAAGAGATTTTTGTTAGATCTTTAAGCTACTGTTAACATTGTATTCATCTTCAAAATCCATAACTCTATTGCATTATTCTATGCTTAGTCTGTCCACACCACCAACACACACCAATTCTTCCCTGGGAAGTCCCTTTTCAAATATCCTGTTCAATAGCAAAAGCAACCAAAAAAAAAAAAAAAAAAGAAAAAGCCCCCCCCCCAAAAAAAACAACAACAAAAAAAAAACAACCAAAAACCCCCAAAAAACAACCCATCAAAAAACCAACCCACCAAAAGACATTCCTGTTATTGCACATCTCACACAAATTTGTGTATATATATATATATTTAAATATGCTACAATTAAAAAAAGTCTATGGCACTTTACAGAATATAAGTTTACAAAGTTGATCAAACCACAGATGCTTGAAGAATTCTTCAATACCACAAAAACAAAGTTGAACTGAGCTAATTGGCACACAGGTTTTAAAGAATCCACAGCAAAGTCTTCTAGATCCTATGCAGTGCACGTACATTAAGAAGCAGTTACGCTCTGCAGCCCCCCTCGTGAAATTAATTAAATTAGTTTTAATCTGATTTCTTTCTTCTCTTTTCTAAACATCTTTGAAAGCTGCTGTTGAGGTGACCGTCAGGAACAACTTTAAACAGCTTTAAACAGATTTAACGAGAGCACCCTACATCTGAAAACTTCATCCAGAAAAAAAAGCGGCAATACGTAACGCCTTATCACTTGATAGAAAAACAGAACCCTGAGAAAGGAAATTCTGATTACTGTTTTTCTGTATTTCTTCCCAGCCCGTCTTCCATCTGACTGCGTGCTGTGTGATGAACGTGGATATTCTTGCAAGTTAGTTGATTATGCCGTTGCAGAGCAGGTTGATAGCATATCAGCAACAAGCAGAAAAGCTGGCTCTTGTTGGTTACAAATGAAAACAAAAGCAAAACACGCCACTGAAAATACTTGCCTAGTATTGCAAAAACAAAAAACCCAATATTAAAAATTTTAAGCATGCTTTAGATCATAGCAGTGTATACTGGGGTTGTTCACTGCTTACTTCTAAACCTAAGCATACCTTTTGGAACCTCCATAAACCTCCATACCTTTTGGAAGTACTGACTTTGGCTCTGGCTAATCAGGTGCTCAAGCCGCAGCAGCATTTACTTCAGTAACGTAGTTACAGAAAGTCCTGGCAGTGGCAGCATTCACATTGGATTGCTACCCACTTACAAAAAGTTAAAACTCCAAATCCGACTGATAAAAGCTCTGAATTTTCTTTTAATTAATATTGAGCCAATTTATAGTCACTCGTATTCTCCAACCCTTCCTTTCCAATTGCGCTGTTGACAAAAGCACAGCTGGGCTAATGCCCCAGCCTCCTCTAGCACGCGCTCCAGTAGAGGGCTCAAGAGGAGCACCATAGGATGTTTTCAGTCACAGTGCAGCTGTGCTAAACAGGTAGCATGCACGTCCTTCGGCATGTGTGTGTGCGAATGTGTCCAGCAAAAAATGGGAGACCACGAGTGCGGTCAAGACATGCTGGCTGTGACTTTTTGTCCTCAAACGCCACTTTATTCCAAAAGTTTTTTAAAAACAAATTTTGCTATATGCAGATAATTGGCATAAGTGGTTCCAGACCGTTTTTAAAATTAAACATTTTAAAGAGAAGTTAATTACCCGTTTTAAAATCTACACTGTGGTGGGCTAGAGAAACAGGTGAACGCAAGAAGCTGCTAAATTAAATTAAATCCCTTTTTAATATTGGCAGAAGTTGATCCCGGTTTTTGAACAGTGGCTCAGCCATCAGCTCTACATCTGTCCGGCACCTTTCTTGAACACATGCTGTGTGCTGATGGGCACTGCTGCCTACACAGGTGGGCTGGGCTCAGGCAGGGTCTGTGGGGCACAGCAGGCACTGAGGGTGCTCCAGCAGCACTGCTCAGCCATGCTCAAGGCTAGCCCTGGGCTTGTGCTAGTGGCTGCTTTTACAAGTCCTGTGAATCACCCAGAGAGGAGCAGCGTATTGAAATCAGCCTTCTACCTGTACAGTAACAATTTTTAATATCTATAAATGGCTAACAGCACACTGTGATAGACTGACCAGGCTCCAGTGATGGAAAGCAATGTATGATGTGAAACATGCACCAAGAAATAAGAAGAGGAATTCACTTAAAGTTCATGAGAATTACTTCTCTGATGAATTCTTCCTAGTGCTTCTGTGCCACAGTTGCATCATTCCTTTTTTTTTTTTTTTTTTTAAATACCTTTTAGATTTGTTTTTACAAGTAGTTCTAGTAAGTGATGGGGCACCACAAGTAATGCAGCCGACTGTTTTTGAGAAAGGAATGTCATTTGCGGCAGGGTCTGTTATTTCTGCTGATTTAGTTGGAAAAGGTTCCACGCTACATGTGGTTCAAAAAATGGGAAAAGATCTTCACAGCCATTAAGAATTTGGCATGACTTCCTGAAAAATGTAAATTTCTTAAGGACGTAGCTGGTTCTGGGACATGAAATTGGTCTGCAGAGTAGGAATGAAGTTTCACAGGCAAAAGGAAGAATAATACCACTGAAGTCCAGCATTTGATGTTCACTTGTACAAGAGGCTAAAGCTCCAGCTGTTGGCATTCACAAAGTAATGCCCAGCTGTGCTCTGGGTAGTTATCATCTGCTTGGGATTTGGGGTATTTCAGCTAAAGGCATACGGTAAAATGGTATTTCTAACAGTTGCATCAGATTCAAGTGAAAACCAGTGTTAACAACAGCATCTCTACTGGGTCAGTGAAAACAAAATAATTAACCTGCTAGACAAGGGGCACGCACCTTGTGTTGTGAAGTTTCAAGCAGGAGATGCGGTAAGGATTCAGCTTTAACTGTTTAAAGATGTGTGAACTGCATCGTGTCAGCTTTGATCTCTCCATCGCGTACTTACTCTCTGAGAAGGCACTGTACTTTAAGGACGTTCAGTATGAAGAAGCACCTCAATTAAAAATACGGTACCAAACCAGGTGGTGGTGAAAGATTCACAGGTGAGGGGAGCCCTTGGAAAGAAAGCCTAATGAAAATAGGCTGCTTGGTTGTGTAAAAAAAAAGTAAAAATGTGCTGGCCTTTATTATTTTAAATCCAATTTTTTTAAAGTGACCAAGGTGGGTAAGGCAATCCAATCAATCAGAATTTGTCAGCTATGTAATAATATCCCCATTATATATATGATTCCTCGCATCCCCAATCTGATTAATATACTCCACAGTGTCCTGATAATGTAATCAAACTAAAAAATCCCCAAGTGTTTACATTCTCCTTTCTTGGGATCTTTTCTGATCCTCATTGCCCAACAAGGAGGAAAGACCATTTCAGTAGTT